CTCCTACAGGGATCTACATGGAACTCTTGCTGATAGGGAAACCCTCTGTTGTAGGGTTCTACATAGAACCCTTATGCAACAACCAAAGACCCCTTAAGGGTTCTATATTTATAAGAGTGTAAGGATGCATGAAGAGGTCTGCTTACAAACGGTGTGTGAGCACTACAGAGTTTTTTTTTTTTTTTTTTTAAAGGGGGGGAGGGAGGAGATATGGAAAAAAGATCCAATGGTAATCCACTATCAGCCAGAGAGATCAGCCGCCTATCTGCTATCAAACGGCCCATCTGTGGGAAGAGAAGTGAAAAAGGCCGGAGGGAGAATGCAGTGCCAGCCACAGACAGAAAACAAATAATAATTTAAAAAAAAAAAGATCCAATTTTAATTCTTATCTCTCCTGAGATCGGATCGCGGCTTATCTGCAGTCGCATCGGCTTTTTTTCACAGAACAGTGATGTTTCCTCAGGAAAGTTAAAACAGGAAACCACGGTTACACTGCAGCCGGAGACACAGCATTATCACATTCACAAGTGTTTTCGCTCAATGTTTTGTCCACAATGCTGATCGGAACTAACAAATCAGATCACAAAGTGTGCTAGTCGAGTTTATCTCACGTGTCTTTTCTTTTGTCGCTCTTGTTGTTGTACTTTACAGTTCATTTCTGGTGCCCTGCTCTGGTAACTACTTCTTGTTTATATACGAGTGTGTTTTGTTTTTATGCTAAGCAGCGCGTGATGAAATAAACTCCAGCTCGCGCAGCTTTCCTCACGCGGACAGCGTCATTGAACTACACTCGAAATATTATTATTGTTATCCTGTTCCACCTACAACACATTACACACACTGTGTGTTTGGTAAACATTCTGGCTTGGTAATGAGTTGAGTCAGGTGTGTTGAACCAGGATTAACACGAAAAGGTGTAGTACTGTAGTTTCCAAGAAACGCTCATGCAGCTCGGAAACCGTGCGCTCCACTACCCTGAAAATATACTCTGTATTAGTCTGTTCCTAATAGGTTTCTGTGTTTATAGAAGTGTTTATATGGTATCCGTTGGAGACTGATTGAAACTTTTGAGCTTACGTTTGATCTGACGGGGCTTACTCTGCTTCCTTCGGGACATGGCTCTTCCTCGGTCCCCGCCGGCGGACGCGAACTGATGATCGGCTTCTCGGAGAACTAGCAGCACTGGGACACGACTCGCCCTGCGTCCGGATCCACCCGCATGACCCGCACTTGGAGCTTCTCAGCCGGGAGAGCTAGCTACCTGTGGCCGTGGGAGCGTCTGCTTGCTCCTCGACGTCTGCCCGAGACGAGCGCTCTTTAATTCTTTCTCCGTTTCACCGTTGCCCGATATTTCTACTGCAACCGCAACCCAAACGTTAAATATGTCGCTACCGGAAAATAAAAAAAAAACAAAGCTTTTTTTTTTTCTTCTTCTTCTTCTTTTTTCCCTGTGTCAATATCTACTCGCTCACCGCGTTTCCAACACTTGAGCACTTCTCAATGGGGCTATAGCTCAACAGCCACATGACACAGTGGAGCGGACTCTGCGGAGCCACGCCCCCGGGAACGCCTCTCGCCTCTGACGTCACGCCGCATGCTGCTGGCTTACGCTCGCGCCCACAAGCAAATGCAAAGAAACAAGTATACACGTAGTATATAGTGTGTGTAGTGGTGAAGTATACAAGTATACACGCACGCCTTTTCGAACATCGACTAAGTCTAAAAATCCATACTATCCTACTAAACAGTGTGTCATTCCAGTACGCCGCATGTAGTTCTGACATAATGTTTAGTTAAAATGGTAAATTCTCTCATGTATATTCTCTCTTTCACAAAGTCACACGCATAGTAAGGCTATTTAGTAGCCTAAGAAAGTTAGTAAGTTGCTTAGTAAAGCTATTTCGTCAGTGTAATCACTTCCAGGATATTTTTCTTTAAAGATGTTCTTTAATATAAAGAATCAACAAACAAACAAACAAACAACAACAACAACAATAATAATAATATCTACTGATAGATAGATAGATAGATAGAATCAGTCAGCTGCAAAGTTTATTTAGTGTGTCTTCGTTTCCCTAATCTACAGGTTTCCAACCCTTGTCATGGAGTACCCCCTATATTATTTAATAATAATAATAATAATAATAATAATAATAATAATAATAATAATAATAATCTGAGTTTCTGTAATAGTAAGCAGGTTACTGTCTGTGTGGATTTTCGCATGTACTCCCAGTGTTTGTGCGGATTTCCTCTGGATCCTCTGGATTCTCTGTGACCCTGATCAGGATAAAGTGGTTACTGGAGATGAGTGAATGAATTGATGATTATGATGATGATGATGATGATGATATTACTACTACTACTACCACTACTAGTACTACTACTACTACTACTAATAATAATAATAATAATATCTAAAAATAGACAGCCAAGATTGGGAACCTGTGCCAACCTACCTGATAGATGCAATGACATACTCTTCCTAAATGTGTTCAAGCAGGTGCTTAAATGTGCAGGGTACATTTTTAAAGAAGATAAATCACCAAACTGTACTAGACCCTGGCCATAGGATGTGTGCCCCTAGTTGGTGCATTCAGCATGCCCTGTAGGTAAAAATACAAGCTCACTGCTTCCATCTAGTGGCCAAGGCATAAATAGCTATACCCATCCTTTAATATCCTTCATATCTCAAAAATGAGATGGCTTTGAAAAATTCTTGTAGAATGACCTTGAAGAACAAAAGTAGAACAGTAAAGGGTTTTGAAGCGAACATTTGCTTGGTTGTTGATACACTTCACAAAGCACGCAACGTACACATTCCGTGCTACCTGAGTAAGCAGCACAGAATCGGCTAAGTAAGATCTCTTTTTTCAATTTGGATCTCTCCAAATTTATATGGTAAACATAAGCTTGGCACACCTCTGTCAACCAGTTTTGTCATTTCAGTATTTCATTCCATGACCCTCCAAATTAAACTGTTCAGTTTTGGTGCAGGGTATGAGTGGTAATTCATTCTCTTTCTTAATTACTTATCTTTTTACTTAGGTTTTTGCACAATTTTTTTTTGTATTATAGATTTGCTTTAAAATGTATTAAATTTACATTTTTGCCATTAATCTACACACAATAATTCATAATGACAAAAGGAAAAGGAGTTTTTAGAAAAAAAAATTGCCAATTTATTGAAAAGTTTCTACAAGCATTGGAAACCTTGATTTGGGCAATTTCTTCCATTCTTCCTGGTAGATCCTCTCTGAATCAATTCGATTGGATGGGGAGTGTCCGTGAACTGCCACCTTCAGGTCTCTCCACTTATATTCTATGGGTTTCTGGGCTTTGGCTGGGCCGCTCAGTGACATTCAGAGACTTGTCCAGAAGGCACTCCAGCTTTGACTTGGCTGAATACTTTGGGTCATTATTGTGCTGAAAGGTGAACCTTCACCTCAGTCTTTAGTTGTGTGCACTCTGGAACAGGTTTTTTCAAGGACCTCTCTGCATTTGGCTGCTTTCATCCTTCCCTCAAGTCTGACTGATCTCCCTGTTCCTGCCACTGAGAAGCACCTCCATAGCATGTTGCCTTACCATACAGTTGATATTACCCAGGTGATGAGCAGTACCTGATTTTCACCAGACACAGCGCTTGGAGTTCACCCCAAATACTCAGGAGTGTCTAGAGTGACTCAGTAGAGCCACTTTACCATAAAGACCTAATTAATGGAGTATTTTTTAGATAGGTGTCCTTCTGACAGGTTCTGCAAACAGCTGAAGCTCTGTTAGAGTGTCCATTGGGCTCTTGGTCACCTCACTAATGGTTTGGTTTTTGTTATGACATGCACTGTGAATTGTAGGACCTTATACACATATGTGTGTGTCTTTCTAAATCATGTCCTATCAATTAAATTTGCCACAAGTGGCTTACAGTCAAATTCTAGAATGAAGATAATGCAAGCAATGCTTCTGAGCTCAATTTGAAGTGCATCAGCCAGGGGTCTGAATACTTATGTAAATGAGAGGGTTCAGATTTTAAATTGCATTTTCAATCAGTGTGTGTGTGTGTGTGTGTGTGTGAGAGAGAGAGAGAGAGAGAGAGAGAGAGAGATCATTAATTAATATTGTACACAGACACCAGGATGCCACTAGAAGGCAGTCTGCCTCTAAGGTTAAAGTAAGCTCCAGTACACAACTGAAGATACAAATCTGGCCACCAAACACGTCCACTACTACAACTACTTTTGAACAGGGTAAAGGTGAGCAAATTTCATTTTTATCCAGAGAACTCCTTCAAGGGTCATGCCCCCCCCCACCCCTTTAACTCACATGATGTCGGCATAAGTGTCCAATGTAATTTGATGTAGTTTCCTTTTCAAATCAGGGGGGAAATGGCAAATGTGGCTGTTTAGAAGTGGAAACAGGAGCAGTAAAATTCCATATCTAAATGCAATATTTGTTTTACTCTGTTCCAAATAAGCTATATGCAGTTAAAAAAATAAATAAATAAATAAATAAAACATCTACACAAAACAATTGTAATTACTTTATTCATCTAGAAACTTTATTCAGCTAAATCGCAAACTCAATAATTAGTACACTATGCTTGGTTTTTGTCACCACTCAATTTCTAGCACTACTCAGTACACTTATTGAGCATATTTCATCAAAATGTAGTCTTTCGTTCTTCTTCATTGTAAACTGTCAATTGCCATAACCTTGCACAGCACCATTGTCACAGGGGAGCAAGCTGGAAATCTGGGGTCCTTCCTAGAGACATATATATTTATTCACAGAACTTATACTGATTTATATTTATTTATATGTTGTTGTTCCACTTTTGGCTGCTCCCATTAGGGGTCGTCACAGTGGATCATTGGTCCGCATATTTGATTTGGCACAGTTTTTATGCCAGATGCCCTTCCTGATGCAACCCTCCCAATTTTATCCGGGCTTGGGACTGGCACTGAGAGCTCACTGTTGCATGCAACCCCAGTGGCTGGGGCTGGTTCCCTGGCCAGGAATTGAACCCGGGCCGCAGCGGTGAGAGCGCTAACCACTAGTCCTCTAGGGACCCTACACCTAGTTATGCCATAAATGTATAAATAAAATTAATGTATTAATGTATTACATATTGGACATTAAAATTTACAGTCAAAATATCATTTGATGTCACATTGTAAAACAAATAAGTTTCATAGTACACTGTTCCACTCTTCCATACTTCAAATTCAAGACACTTGCAACAAGGTGAGGTAAAGCGGGATACTGTTTTGCCTATTGTATGTTAATAGTATCTTACTTAAGTACTTAAGTTTTTACTTCATAGTTTACTATTAAAAGTATATCAGTGTATCTTACAGAGTTCTGTATAATCTGCAGTTTTACTGTGTATATAGTGTGCCTTGCTATTTGTGGCTAGTATAACTTTTTTGTTTGGGATTTATGTGAGTGGGTCACTGAATAGCATTTACCTTTTTGTTGTTGAGCAGGTGCAAAATACTTTGACTTTGTGGATCATCAGAAGATCAAATGCTGCTGAAATGTGAACTTTTGTCTGAGCTTCAGTAGGCTATGAGGATGACCTCAGTCACCCAGTAGGCCAATCTCTGCCTAGACAGTGGAGCACCCTGGGTCTTTGCACTGCAGCAGAGGAATAACTGGTCTGCAGAATGAACAGCTGCTTCTAGTAAAGGCGTAAATCCTGGGTTTGACCACACTGTCACTCCAGAATCATCTGGCCACCAGATCATGCAGGGTATGCTATCTCCAAGGCTCTTAGTTCTCCCACCCATTTTGCTGAGCTGATCACTCACAAAAAAGTCTGTCTTCATTAATACTTATTTCAGCTCAGCATCCTTAAGGGACTCACACACAGGGCTCTTGGGGGGGAACGTGGAGGATGGAGGCTCCCAGCAAGGTGCTACCCAGTGTGCTGTGGTGAGCCAAAATGGCATAGATGCAAAAAGGCTAGTACTGTAGGCATTGGGCAGTGCTGAGGTCCAATCAACAGGATGCACACCATTTTTGGAACAGTTCTGAGAGCATACAAATCCCTTGTACTGGGGTCTACTACACGAGTCCTTTATTGCCACAAAACAGTGTTTGTAGTAATTTGGTTCTGTACCGCTCAACAGTAAACAATAAACAATGCAATAAACAAAGCGCAAGACAGGACAAAAAGATAACATATGCATGAATGAGATGTGCAATTAATATTGAATCAGTGTAAAATTAGCTGAACAGTAAAAACAGTGCAAAAAGTTGTAGAAGAACTAATGGGCAACCAGTAGCAGCAGTAGTGATTGGAGTTGATATGTAACAGTAACGACTAGGAGTGCAGAAATAACACAGTATAACAGTACAGTTTGCGGGGGGATAACGGCAGTATAGACTGAGAGAGGCAGGGACTTTTTGCTCTGGACATCAGTATCATTAACTGGACTGCTAAATTGTAGTCATTGAGCTGCCCGCCGCATCAAGTGGCCTAACCCACACGTGCAGATAGCCTGGCTGGGGGTGCTACATGTCTCCATTTATCTATGACATTAAGTCTTCCCAGTGAAGGAGTTGTCAGGTTGTCCCAACCTCTACCAAGAGCAATAGAAATCACTTTCTTGAGAATATGCACTGCCTTGACAGCATGCCCACTGCCCCACTGTGCCGATCCAGTACCCAAGTTGCCATAAGCCCACTTGAGGAGCTCCTGTGTAAGTCAGAAAGCATTTTTCAACCTTGTGCCACCTTGATGATCTATGCTGTCCAAACAGATCGGGACATAACCTTGTCTCAGAACAGGTAGGAAGAACCTAAGGACCAGCCAAGCCACCCTCAGTTCTAAAGAGTTGAGGTGTACTGATTTCACATTGTGGGTTCATACTTCCCCTGTGCCTCTGTGACACCATACTGCTCCCCATCTCGTGATGGTGGGTGTCCCTGGTGACCCTAGGTATACCCCTTTCATGAGAAAGGATGTACATGTACAAGTCCAAGCCTATATTGCTGAAACAAAATGCATCTCTTTTAATGGCTGCAGTCAACAATATCAGCATCCTCAATGGGAGCCAGAATTGGATGTGGCTGGCCACTTGCATTTTGCTGGTGAGCACTGTAATGTCTGCCACACACCATAGTGCATGAGTGTCTGTGTTGTATGTATTGTGTAGATCCACTGTCAACCAACCTTCTCATGTAAATCATCTCTGATCTAGAATAGGACAGCATCATGCTTCTGCCCAAAAGAAAACAAACTTGGTTCAGAGCATCAACTTTTTCAAGGTCTGAAATTGGTGAGGACTTGAGCCCCCGAAAGGTTGTGGGCCAACAGTGGAACTGGAGTATGTACCCCTGCAACATATTGTGGCCTAATGGGGGATGTTTTTGCCCATGAAGCATCCTACCAGAAGCCCTTGCCATAAATTGACAGCTTCTGTGGGATTCTTTTGAGGTGAGAGGGTACTGACCCACTGGTTGGACCAGGGACACCCGGATGTTTGTTAGGGCCTTGGGTGCATGACTACATATGCTTACAGCTCTGGTGAGGCCTGTGGGCCTTCAGAGCATGTCAGAGAATTGAATTCATCAACTGTGGCTCTGTACTCCACACGCAGTCCCAGCAAGGCCCACAACATCATTAAGGAATCCTCTCACCCTGCCAACAGACTGTTCACAAACTTGCTGTCAGGCAGGCAGTACCACTGTATTCAGACTAAATCTACTATTTGGTAACTTGTGAGTCCCGTCTACTTTGTTCTATTGACTTTGAGATTTTTAAGCTTGTACTCTCCTCTCTAGGGCTTCTTTGGCCGCAGGTCCAAAGTGCAGTACAGCTAAGCAGGGCAGACTTCACAGATTCACTTTGCATGCTCCCACAATTGTAGACTGTGTCAGCCACATCTGGTGTCATGTGGAAACCAAACTGTCTTCCCATTTCCCAGGCCATGTACCTACTTTCACAGCAAAGTGACTGGCCTTTGCCAGTTGGAGAAGCCACTCCAATGCTAGCTAGAAAATTACCCAAAGAATTACTTGTGCATGTCAGATGCAAACCTTACATCAGCAAGTTGTCAGAACATCTGTACTTGGACAGCATAGACAGCCATGCCTCAGAGTGTAATGGTTATGGTGGTGAAATGAATTTCCCCTGGCTGTGAGTGTGAAGAACTAGCTCTTAAATAACTACTTAAATGAGCACTAGAGAAAATATTAACTTGTGTTGATATTTACTTTATTAATACTTGTGTATCTTTATTTTGGATTGGTGTATCACTAGTTCACACGGTTCTAGCTTGCTATGAAAGATAAAGATTAATGTATAGTAGACAAGATTGTGAAATAAGTGCTAAATTCATGGGAAAATATGTACATTTGAATTACAAAATGATATCTTTTATGGGAAATATATTTTGTTGCATATTTAGGCAGTAGAAACTAAAGACTAGAGCCCTTCATATTTATTGTGTGTTTTATTATGCACTTTATTCCTTGTTCAACACAAAGCTGTATCACTGCAAGAATTGTTTTCTAAGAAGCAGAAAGTAATGAATTGTAGCTGAAGTACAATTATATAAACCTCTTTTCTTTCTGAAATGCCTTTTTCCATATCTGTCTCCTTCATACCTGTAACTTTCTGTGATTTTCCATCTAATACCAGTGTCAGTTCAGCTTTGGTACTTAAAGCACAATTCAGACCCAAAAGAGTATCCTAGGTGATACAGCAACGTTGTATTAATAAGAAAGTGAAGACTCAGACAAATTTGTACCATAAGCCTTTATTAAAAAATTTTTAAGATGTATGAAAGATGTATGCTCACTCAAATATCCCCAAACTTTTGACTGGTAGTAAATATTGATTACATTTCACTTTGCTTGCTTTAAGGCAGAGTGCATTCACAGTATACACAGTTTCAGTGGGGGAGGATCAGATTAAAGGGCACATGGTCTTGTACATATGTGTGCGTGTAGGTGTGTGCTTGCTTGTGCGTGTGAGTTCATGGCTACATGAATATGGGTGTGTGTGTGTGGGGGGGGGGGGGGGGGGGGGGGGGGGGGGGGGGGGGGGGGGGGGGGGGGGGGGGGGGGGGGGGGGGGGGGGGGGGGGTACTATTTATGGGTCGGAGCGCTCTGTTTCTTCCAGGCTTTCCCTGTGGAACTGCAATGATGGGAGTCCTGCTCATTCTGTGCTTGACTGTTGCCTCTGTTTGGACAGCACCAACTCAGACAGGCAAGAACTTATTGCTTGCTCTATTGTTTGTGGGAACAGAAAATGGTGCACTATTAGAGGAATTAGCACTTCTTGTTGATGTTTAAGAAATTGAAGAATTTTTTTATCAGTAGCATAATGAGAATTAACAAAGGAGTACTTTAAAACACCAAACATGTATCTCGTGTAACTTACCTCGAGGATACTGTACAAATTAAATCTAGTGTAACATTTTTTTTTAGCTCTAATTTGTCTAGTTCTACATTTCAGCAAATTTACCTAAGTATCCTTTGGTATGCAGAGTCCAGTCTTAAGCCTTTTAAGTGATTAATCCCCTCCCTGCTGTGTGCAGATTCTGATCCTGTGATCATTCTGAAGCATGGCAGCATTCGTGGCAAGTATGTAACAGTGAAAGGCTCGGATAAAGTAGTGGAACAGTATCTGTCCATTCCTTTTGCTCAGCCACCCGTGGGTCCTCTCCGTCTGGCGGCACCCCAACCTGTTGAACCCTGGGAGGGGGTGAGAGACGGCACACAGCACTCTAATATGTAAGTGTGGTCCACTATTCTTATCACTGTCCTATACGACATTTTTCTCTTTTATGATATACCGTATATGCATTGGTAGTTCCATAGAAAGCCAATGTCCTTTAAAAATCAACCATATTTCATATAGTACCACATTTTCTGAATCTTTGTAAGTGTTTTCATTCCTAATACTTCATTATACACGTGATTTAAAAGGAGCCATGTTCATTTGCGGTACTTTATCTAACCTAGTTTCTGCAAAGCAAATGCTCAAAGAGGTGCTCATGCCATATGCTTTGTGCTGCAGTGCTTTTGGAATAAAATTCCTCTACTTTTCTTGTTTACTCAGAAG